TTAAAATACTATCAAAATCTATTATATATATATTTTAAATTTATTCACATTAACATGTGATTTTTGTTGTGAAAAAAATGTTATATAAAGTAATTTTATACATAAATACAAAAGAAAATTTTAGTTTTTTTTTTTTGGTAGAAAAAAGAAAATTTTAGTTAGAGCAGTAAAAAGTGATTTGTGAAACAAAAGTCATGGGGTAGAAAAAGATTTCATGGTGGAGTTGAAGTGGTATGTTAAGTGAAAAATTATAATAATTAAAAAGCATCAATTAAGAGAGAAATCGAGGTGTACATGAGGTATTTATCTTTGATAAGTTGTTAAAATGCAAAATAAATTTCATTATTTTTTGATGTTAAAATGCATTGAGAGATCAAAAATAAGGGTAAAAAAAAGTAATGAATATTTAGCAGTATTTGTGACTTCCGAGAGAGTTAGATAAAAGGGAGGAACTAAATAAAAGAAAGATAGAAAAAGAAAAAAAATGATTGATGGGGAAGATAGCCAGAGGGACGACTCAAAGTCTCAAACTTTATATTTTTTTATTAGTCTTTTTTGTTGACTTTTGGCTAATTATGTAATGTTATTTCTTTTTGTCTGCTAGAGAGAGTAGGATAAACTCCACTTTCCCAGAAACTCAAAGATAAAATAGAGGGAGAAGGAGAAAACCAGGCCCTTAGCTCTTTCAAATTAATTATGATGACACGTGCATATTTTACAAATTAACAATAGACTGGGTAATCAAAGAAGGAGATGGCTGTCGTCACCACCATCATCTTCAAAATCTATTCTGCCACCTTCCCCCATGGGGGACCTGGTCAGAGATATACCAAATACCAACTCAAACACAAGGTTTCATACTTTTTTACATTTTCGTGTTGCAGAAATTATCTTCTGTCTGTCTGTCTCTACAATTCTATTCTATCTCTCTGCAAAGTAATGATTTACTATTTTCCTTGTCTTCCCAACCTAATTTCTTTTTAAATTCGTTCGGTTTTATTGTCTCTTTAGCTGTCTCACACAGCAATTTTGCAAGTATTTCACTTTTCTGTTGATAGCCTGAATGCATGCAAATTAAAGTTCCTTCCTTTTTTGATGAAAGGTTTAATTTTTATTTCTTTGGTGTGCTTGTGCAGGGACAGTTTTTGGATACTTCAAAGCTTCCCACTTGTGTGTGATCGGAGATGCTTCAGAACTCTGCTGAATTCCGCAATCTTGGGATGTCTAAATCCAAAGTCTGGACCTGGGGAGCTGTCTTTGTCGGCTGCTTCTTTCTGTCTTCACTCCTTGTTGGAGCACAAAGTTCCATCACTCAGCAAGATGAAGGTAGCTTTTCTGATTGAATATGGTAGAAAATGATTTTACTGGAGCATCTGCAGCTTGCTTCAGCAGTTTTTTTTTTTTTCTTCAGAGAATGTTTGGAGTTTACATTGTTCCTTGAGAACAGGACTGTGTTTAAGCATATGTGTCAATACCAAGCCTAGATTTCTTAGTCTATTGAACGCTGTTTTATAGCTTTGGCTCA